GTGGCTATAGCAGTTGGTCCAAGACCTGGTGTTTGGGTGTTCCCAAGTATCTTCGCTTCAAAGATGTACTTGTAATGCAGGGTAAGCTTATTTTCTGTTCTTTGTAATTTGTGTTTATTGTTTCTTTCAGTCATTGTACGAGTTATATCATGTATCCTAGCTCATAACTAATAGAGAATTTATTTTTTGATTGTTGGTTTTTTTATTGATTGCAAAGGGGTGACGACCATTTTGTGCTTGAAATTGATTTTATAAGATAAATTAATGAAGGATTTGTTAGCTAAAGAGTTAATTTAATTGATTTAATTAATATTTAAATTAATTTTATATTTTTTAAATATTATAAATTAAAAGATACTTATCTCTTTAAATTGAATTTTAGCAGGATAATTATTCTTTTAAATATCTCAAATTAAAATGTATTTATTATCTATTTAACTTTGAATATTAAAAGATAATTATATCCTTTTGGATATCTCAAATTACAATTACATCTATTTGAGTTTGATTATGAAAAGGTATCTATCTTTTAAATATTTCAAATTCAAAGATAATATTATCTGTTTAAAATTAAATATTAAAATATATCTATTTTGAGGAAATCTCTCTTGAAATTTCCTAATAAATAATGAGTTCACCTGCTAGGTTAAATACATCTCACAATTCAAAAACTTCTAAAATCTTGAAAAATATTTTTCCCTTCTTCTTTAGTTTTTTGGTGATAGACAAAGACAATAAATAATTTGTAATCTCAACAGTTTGTGCTATTATTCACTGATTATCTAGTTGTTTTATCCTAGGAGATACACGACCAAAAGATCTCGAGCACCAAGGAGTAGTCGAAAATCTATCTTAAGGAAATTGTATAGTGACAGGCTTCAACTCGTTTTTCGACTGATAGATCAACAAAAGAGTATTTTTTTTTCTTCCTACATGTTATATTTACATTTTAAGAAGATTAATTTCTTTTATTTTATTTTTTTCAGGTTTGATTTCATCTTGGATTGTTATTTTGTATAACAATCTTAAGACAAATTATAACTCATTCTTCTACCTTCCTTTAATCCGAGATGATTAGAAAATTATGGGAAAATAGAGATAGCCAAAAAGCTCAACGAAGAAACTTTCGAAGAGGATAAGGTAAATGTGATGAAAGTTAGGGATTTCGAGAAGGGAAAACAAAAAAAATAGATTTTTGGGTCAAAGAAAGCCAAAGCTCATGAGACTAATGTTATGGGAAGAATGGCTAAGGATGTGGAGGACATAGATCTCTGTGTTGTGATCTATAAAGTCAACTTGGTTGACTCTAATCCAAGAGAATGATGGTTTGATACTGGAGTCACGTGTCATATTTGTTGCATTAAAAACTCTTTTCCTAAATTGATACTTGTAACAATGGGGGAAAATTCTACCTGGACAATGCCACGACTTCCAAAATCGAGGGGAGCTACAAAACCATTGTCTGTTTCTTGTAATATAAGTTAAACTTACATTCTCTGTACCATCAATATGGAGCTTAATCAAAGGCTTTGATATTTTAGGTATACATGGAAATCTTTGATACCTCCATTGAGCTCCACGAAAGGAAGATTATTGCAACCTGTGCCTTTGGTGGTTTCTAAACTCCAACCCTCTTGAATTTTGTGGTGGTTTACTTGCCCAGAATATCAACCTTGAAATTTTGATGTCAACATCTTACAGGAGTTTTCAATTCAGTGGTTGCCAAATTTGTCACCACCTCATCTATGTTCTTTGTTCAAAAGGTTCTAATCTGAAATATTTATTTGTTTATTCTTTCCTTGTACGAGGGCTCCAAGTGTAGTATGGAGTGTAGTTTTCAAACAAACAATTATGCGCATCCTCTCAATGGCTTTTGATTTTGTTGGCAGTCCGACATAGACAATTCACCGCATATTAGCTTCTTCTAACACACAATTTTATGATATTTTTGTAGGCCCATCAAAAAAGGATAAATTATTTATTTAGTTACTGAATTATAAAATTTATTCTATTTTAACTGTTGAATAAAATATTTTATCAAAAAAGGATATTTTACTGAATTAAGACACCCATCTTTAAATCAATTGTGACCACTAATAAAAATTATCTTTAAATTAAAGTTTTAAGAAAAGATTCAGAAGATTTTTAACATTCATTTTGTCCATCCTACAATGTAGTAAATACGACAGACACATTATATAAGTTCTTATAAATAGGCTAATGATTTTTTAAAAAAAAAATATTTTAATTTTTAATTTTTTAACCTCTGATTTTTTTTCCAAATTAAACTAACATGAATTATGAGTGGATTTTAATGGTTTTAATATTTTTTCACATATTTCATATTTTATTGTTTTAATAAATTTTTATAATTATGATAATATAAATTTTATGATTTTTTATTTTTAATATTATTTTTTTAATTTTTTTATAAAATTAAAAAATAATTAAATTCAATATTACAAAAAATATTTGACAACAAAATTAGAAATTTGAAGATAGGAAGAGAAAAAAAAAGTTAAAGACTAGAATAATTTTTTTAAAATATGAAAATAAAAAATATCATTAGATCTCCTTGACAATATATATAAGAAACTTCTACAACACTCAACGACCACTATTAATTATAAATTAGTTAAAAATTTAAAAGTAAATTATTTAAAATGAAGGGTAAACTTTACCAATGACTACCTAACTATTGTCCCTTTTTATTTTTACAACCATTTTTGAAATTTTATCAATCAGGTCACTCAACTATTTAAATAGATTCAATTAAGCTATTTGTCGTTAATATTTAATGGAGAAACTGATGTGATAGTTACCATATTTGGTCTAATTACACATTTAGTCACTGTTACTTATATATTCTATCAATTTGATCCTAATTTAATAAATAAAAATAAACTTAACCCTCAAATCAAGTGTAATAACATGTGTCACCATTTGATTAGATGATCCATTAAATTTATTTTAGTTTAATATATTTTTCTCATCAATCAGAGGGTGACACCATCTAAATGATGTCCAAAGAAACTGAACCTAAGGTACATGTGCGAAGAAGCGAGGCTCAACCATTGAGCCAAAGTAGTTATTTGGTTCAAACTTGACTACATATATTATATATGATGTATATTAGTGTAAACTTAAATTCTTAATGTTTTATATATCTTAACTTAAATTCACATATTCAATTAATTTTACATCTTAACATTAATTTTTTTTATCTTAACTTATTAAATATATTTAATTCTTTTTGTAACTTAAAAATATATTTTATTTTATTTTAATTTTAAAAATATATTTTAATCTTATCTTAAATTAAAAAATAATTTCTATTATTAACTTAAATATTATATTTCTTATGATAATATTTAAAATTTAAGATAAAAATAATATATATATATATATAGTTAAGATAAAAATAAAATATATTTTTAGTCAAAATAAAATATATTTTTAAATTAAGATAAGAATTAAAGAAATGTTTACAGTTAAAATAAGAATTAATTATATTTAATAATTTAAGGTAAGAATATAATATATTTAATAATTTAAGTTAACAATATAATTTATGTAATAAGTAAGATAAGAATAAATATATTTTTTAAGATAAAGACTAAAATATTTTTAAGTTAAAATAAGAATAAATATATTTAATAAGTAATATAAAATAAATATTTTTTAATGTTAAGATGTAAAATTAATTTAATATGTGAATTTAAGTTAAGATATAAAAAATATAAGAATTTATGTTTACACTAATATACAATATAAATAAAATCTGTAGTCAAATTTAAACCAATTAATTACCTTTGCTTCTTCAACCCAGAAATCATATGTTTGATTCCCCGGATATCATTTAAGCGTCCAAAATTTTCTTTCCTCTAGAGGGTGACACCCTCTTGTTGCTAAGAATAATATATTAAAATAAATTTAATCATTTGATTTGAGGGTTAAGTTTATTTTAATTTATTAAGGTCTCATTTGTGTATCTTTTTAAATGCGATTTTAGCTAAAAAACCATTTTGACCATAAAATCAATGTAAAACAGATAAAAATAAAAGAAAAAAATTGTGGTGGAAACGATGGTTTCAAACCAACCGCAAAAACTAGAATTTGTAGCTTTTTCATTTTTAACTTTGAGTTTGTGAGCAAATTATAATTTTACTCTTATTAATGCATGAGCTCCACTCAATTATTTACATTTATTTTTAATTAATATAACATCTTTAAAATTTTATACTTAATATTATTTTAATTATAAAAAGTAAATAAAATCATGGTATATTGAAATATATAAATATTTTATATCCACGTGTTAAAAGTATTGATAATATATTTTTTTAATAACATATTTTATTTATAAAAAATTATTAATGAGTTAAAATATTTTTTATATTTTTATTATAGTTTAAGTGATATTTTATTTATCATAGTATTAATAGGTGTAAATATAATTTAAATTCTATATTTTTATCTTACAACATAATGTCTATAATGTATATTTTATCTTTTCAAACTCACTTTTTAATAACAATCTCAAACACTTAAAATTTAAAGTGCACTTTTAAACAATAATTTTAAAAGTTATTTTCTACCACACTTTTAAAAAGCCTTGCTAAACTGGCCCTAAAATTAGGACTAAATTGATAGAATATATAAGTAATAGTGACCAAATGTGTAATTATACCAAATATTTTAACTTTCATATCATCTACTCCATTAAATATTAACGGCAAGTGGCTTAATTGAACGTATTTAAATTGTTGAGTGGTCTGATTGAAAATTTTCAAAAATGATAGTCAAAATGAAAAGGGGTAATAGTTAGGTGATCACTGGTATAATTTATCATTTATTTTAAATAATTTGACTTTAAATTTTTAACTAATTTAATGATACTTATTGATACTTGTTGAACATGACAGACTCATCTTAGTAAAATCGCTTTATAAGTTTTAATTATAATATGAAAGAAGAAGGCAAATATGGAGAAGAAAACATTAAGCCAACAAAAGAATGTGATATTAAAATAAGAAAACGGCAACCCTAGTATTTATTGGTTGTAATTCTCAAAACAGAAATCGACAAACAAGCATTACTATCACCAGCGACAAAGAAAGGAACAAAACAAGCCACTTCAGATACCAAAAAAAAAAACACATATAACCTTGTTTGTCCCAATACAGACATACGAATGAACGTATAATTTATTTCAGTTCCTCTTCAAAAGCGTTGCTCTGAGCTCGGCCGGGCAAATCTCGCTGGCCGAGTTCTCGGGCCTGTAGAATCCGGTTTTCGGGTCTGGAACCCAGTTTACATTCTCTTTAGTTACCGCCATCGCCATGTCTTCCCCTGTTTTCTTCAACACCGCCTCGTTTCTTGCTGCTGCTGCTTCCTTTACTCCATTTGACAATACTCCTTGTGATGTCGCCGCGTATCCTCGTCTAAACCAAAGAAACACCAAACATCATTAAATAATTGTCTTTATCTACAGGAACGGACATATATTTTTTTACTTTTACGTGACATAAAAAATTTTAAGAGATAAAAACGAATTATTAACAAAAATAAATACAATCCCTCCCAGTTTGTTTTTCTCACTTTCTGATAACAAAAAAAAAAAAGACAAGGAAGCGTGAGAGTACCTTGAGATAGCGTTAGAAATTCCATCGAGAACGATAATAGAGAAAAGCTTAACGTTTGAGAAAGAACGAGCCATTTTCTTCTTAATGAGAGAAAGAAAGCTTCTTGAACGCTGCTGCGGATGAACCGTGTGAGTGTTCTTTTGGTGGTTGGAAAGAAGAAGAGGAAGAAAATACCGCAGCAGCGAAGAAGAAGCCTTGGTCTATTAACTTTCTGATGGATTCTAAAGGGGAAATCAGTTGAGGTTTATATAGAATGTTACAATTGCTTGAGACGAGGCTTAGCGTCCACAAATGCTGAAAGGAACCCCTCTTTTGTTATGCTGCCACCTGGAATATTTGTTATTCTTCAAGCCACTTTTTACTCCCTATTTATTTTTTATTTTACAACGCAACCTGTGATTATTATTAATTTCATAAATATTTTTTTAAAATGGGCAAAGTGAATGAGGATTATACGAGATTAGGCATTTGAATGACCGTTAATGAGCAAAAGGCCTGGTCACAAATAGTAAGGCGATCAAAATGATAGGACAGTTGAGAGACATGTTTGATTTGAGTTTGGGACTTTTTCTTCATTCATATGTTAAATGTATGTGAAAATCCTAAAGAAGAGGGATCTTCTACGCAATTTTGAAAACGGTCGTATAAAAGGTTTCCAAATATATACTTTCATTAATAAATATAATTATAAGGTAATATCTATTCAAATCTTAGATTTCTATAAAAAAAATAACATCATCTTTGATAAATAAAGTCACTTGATAGGTTTATACACATTAAATTTTGAGTTAGATATCAATTAAAAATATTGATAATAATGATACCAACATGAGTTTCTAGGTTCAAAAATATTTTATTTGATAAATGTATGCGTGTTTCAAAAATCTGAGTTAATCTCGATCATTTTGAATTATATACGGCTAGACATCTATAAAATTATTAGTTTATAAAAAGGAACGATTTTAAATATATGAGTTTAAATTCAGAGTTTAAATTAAACTCGAAAATTGATTATGTTAAAGCACTTAAGACCTCAAAAAATTAGTATATTATTTAAATATATACTATCTTGATTTTTGACAAGCTACGAGTATAAAATTAAGTTTAATTTATGATCTCTTTGAGTGGATGTGATTCATGTGAATGCACAACTTATTAATCGAACGAACTTATTTGGAAAGAAAATATTTAAGTTGATTTTTTTTTTTGATTTTTTTAAAAGTCACTCGGTTAAAAAGGATGACCCTTCATTATGACTAATTAGCAAGATAGTATTCTAGTGAGTTAAGAATCCATCTCATTAATTATTATAATATAATAATATTACCTTAATCTTTAAAACATGAAAAAGTATACGGGAAAAAACAGTTTGAAGCTAAGACAAAAAGAATGGATTGCTCTGAAAGTTTTGAAACGGCTACTGGAAACAGAAAGAATGGGGATCCGCGCCCTGTCTCTCCGGAAGTCTCTGAAGCGACAAAAAAAGTTCGTTTCAAGGATACGGATGACCCTCCCATTCAGGATACTATGATGGAAACAGAAGATCAGCAAACACCAGTACCTTCCTATGCGGCAGTGCTGAAAGGGAAAACTAACGGCGTCGCTAAGGATATAGGAGAGGAAAGCAAACCGGAGGAAGATATAGATATCTCCGATGAGGATATTATCACCGGTACTCATTACGACCTCCCGTCCATCCAGTTCTCAGATCGAGCATACAAGCTTCTAGAAGCCACCATGACTACAACGGTAATCCTTAATGTTGTAACCGATTTTCGACCGGACACGATTTTCCTTAACAGAAAAGTAAGTGAATAAATAAATGAATTTTAATAAAAAAAATGATTTAGAGTCGCCATCTACTTTTTGGGTTAAGTAGGTCGAATATCTAAAAATCATCTTTTAAAAGAGTTTAAGAAAACATCAGTTTAAAAGATAAACTAGTATGTGTATTACCAAAAATTCATTTTTTTAATAATAAAAATAGATTCGTAGTCGGTTACGTTTGGGGAAGGATTAACACCCCCACAACGTCAAAAATTAGTACCTGTCGATTATCTATTAGTAGAAATTTAATAATTAATATAAATTTAATTTATAATCTTGTTATTTCTAATTCAATCGGAAAATTCTAAGGAAAAATATATATAAAATGACTTTTATAAATTATAAATAGGGTATTTATTTATTTAAAAATATCAGAAAATGACATCTAGTTGCTTTAAGACAGCCCCTTTCTTAATATTAAAAAATAAATAAATATTAATAAGAATATAATAATTTTTTCCTAAGAATTTTAAATTAAAATAACTTGATTCGATTAAATAAGCATATTTGATTTTTCAGGGTATTTATTTATTTTAAAATATCAGAATATGACATCTAGTTACTTTAAGACAGTCCTTTCTTAAAATTAAAAAATAAATATTATCCTTTAATCAAGTTATGAAATCAATCAAGTTATATTATGAATTTTTCATATAAATGTAAAGAAAATAAAATAAAAAGTAATAATTAAAATACTAAATTTAAAATATTAAAACATAAGGGTAATAATAAAATTGCAATTAATAGTGACTAAAATAAAGAAAATTATAATTATAGTATTAAAATGTAAAATATCAAAATTGAAGATACTAATTCGAAATATCATGTAATATAGACATTAAGAATGTAATTTAACCATAATAAATTATTTGGGATTAAAATAATAATTATTAAATCCTAAGGGACTAAATAAGATATTTACCCTAAAATATATAATTACTGGCAAGGACTAAAATATAAATTAAATGAAATTTGAGAACAAAATTAAAAATGCTCAAAAACTTAATTTAGTGACTAAAATGGAAAGTTTACAAAGTTATGAGGACTGTGCACTTGATTTTCCCATGAGGGAAATTACATAGACACCCCTCACCAAAACGACGTAGTTTTGGTGAGGGTATAAATACCCTTTAATCGGCCCAAAAGGGCCATTTTCCCTCATTTTTCCTAATCTGCTTTTCTCTCTAAGAGAGAGAATCTCTGTCTTCTCTCTATAATTCCCTCGCCAGAGGGAAGACTGACCACCGTCGATCGCCGTGTTCCGGCACCGACAGTGCCCGGTGGCCGGATTTTAGAAAAATACACCAAAATATAGATCTGATTTTTCTAAACCCAAATCCAAACTTCTCTTTTCCTCATAGCTAGCCAATCGAACTAGATCTAAAGTTTTACCTCCGAAATATTTAATGCTCCGACGAAGTTTCGAAGGCTTCCGATGATGTTAAGTCTCCCTTTCTTTTCTTTTGGTTGTTTTCCGCTGCTTTTGGTTGCTTGCTTACTATTTTGGTTTCTTTTTTATTTGAAAATGGTTGTTGTTGTTTGCTATTTTTTCGTTCGGTGTTCCTGTCGTTCATCGTTGCTGTTGGTATTTTCTTCCTCGCAGGTTCGGTGGCTTTTATAGCCACCATAGTGCTCGCCTTGGACCAGGTAAAGAAGAGAAGCCTAGGTGAGTCACCGAACTATGGTGGTGACTCACCATAGGGCAGCGTACGTGGGCGACCATCTGGCCTTCTGAAGGCTTCAGCGAGGGTGACGTCGTGGCAGCGGTTGGCATGGGCCATCTAGAGGCGACGACAGTGAGATGATAACCTAGGGTTATGAAACCCTAGGGCTTCCTCTGTATCTGGTTCTGTTGGGCCGGGTTTGGACCGGATCGGGTCTGTTGGGTCGGGTTAAAATAGCTTTGTAAATGGGCCTTCGGGTTTGAATAGTAAATGGGCCTGTAATATGTATTAAAAATATTTATTTATTTAAATAATAATAATAATAATATAATATATAATAATATAATAATAATAATAATAAGGGACAAAAATTTAGTGTCTACAGTTGTCCATCTTTGCTCATTCTTGTGTTAACAGGAATAGGGCAAAGACAATAAATTTTTGTCCATTTGACTTCTCTTTATTAAGATGGAAATGTTGAACAAGTTCTTCTTCTTCAGATGAGTTCTTCTGATTATAAACTCCTTCTGGAAATGTTGATGATGTTCTATCTCCTTCTGCGATACAGTCGAACAATAAGTTGAATAAGTTCTTCAGATTATGAAATTCTTCTTCCTCTTTAGAAGAGTTCTTATTACGAACTCCTTCTGGAAATGTTGATGATGTTTTATATCATTCTGCGATAGAATCGAGCAAAAGGTTGAATAAGTTCTTTAGATTATAAACTTCTTCTTCCTCTTCAGATGAGTTCTTCTTATTACGAACTCCTTCTGGAAAATATTTTAAGAAAAACAATATCAAGTGAGATAAATTGCTATTTTGAGTGAAACTTTCTCAAGCGAGAAACAGTTTGTTTTAAGAAAAACAGTCTCAAGTGAGATAAATTGCTATTTCAAGTGAAATTTTCTCTAGCGAGAAATAGTTTGTTTTAAGAAAAACAATCTCAAGTGAGATAAATTGCTATTTCGAGTGAAATTTTCTCCAGCGAGAAACAATTTGTTTTAAGAAAAACAATTTCAAGTGAGAAAAATTGCTTTGAGAAAAATTCTCTCGAGTGAGATAATTTTTCTGTTTCGAGTGAAACTTGTCTTAAACGAGACATATCTTTGCTTCAAAAATGTTTAATCTGAAGATGAATGCTCCTTCTTACAGATGAAGTCTTTTTGACTTTTAATCTCCTTCTTTCCTGAAAGATCTAAAAAATGTATCTGAATGCAACTATCTTGAATGTCCTCATGAAAAGAGAAAATGTCCTTGAGAAAGACAAGATTTCAAGAGAAATTTTAAGGGTATCGTCATGAGAGGAAAAATTCAAATTTTTATTGCATAAAATGATGGATGTTTGATGCAATGATGCAAAACCATGTATGTATATGTGTATGTGTATGTCGATGAATATTTTCTCGACTAAGGGCAGTGAAGAGGTGCTCAAGCAATCTTGGTTCTCTTCCCGATCTGTTCGCCTTCATTCTGCTCCCACACGAAGGTGTACCATTGCATTTCTTTGCAAAAATATGCTTTTCTTGCTCCCTGACATTCAAGTTCTTTGCTCCAATTTTTTCCTTAATAAATTTGGCTTTCTTTGTCTGGACTTGTGCAAAAATCCAATAAAAATCTTTGAAAACAGAATATATCATCTTTGGATAATGTAAATATAGATATGCTAAAATCAGCAAAGATTAATTAAGAGAGCAACGTCTGTTTTAATTTGA